TTCTTTGGGCCTTTCTTTCCCACTTCTGAGCTGCTCCCCCATCCCCCCTCCAAAGATGGCTGTTTTCCCTTATTTGCTCCATTAGAATTTTCTGCTGAGGAAAGAGGAAATTTTATCAAGGTGGGTCATGGTAAGATGGTGCTTCTCAAACATTTCCATCCTATGACCCACTAAAGTGACCACAAAAGCAAACGCTATTAGATGGCTTTGGCTCTGGCTTAGAAATGTATGCAAATCTCTAATCTACACCATAATAAAGCATTTGCTGTAGAACAATAATAACTTTCTTTCAGATCTTCTAGTAAAACTGCCATGGAAGGAAAAGGCCTCGTGTTCACTCGGTGGCTTGTCACACTCCCCTCACTTTCCCATAGCCACCTTGTCCACACACAGCTCCCTTCCGGTGCTTCAGGGTTAACGCATGCCTGGTTGTGAGGCAAAGAGCAGCAAGAAGGGGTCAGCGCCTGAAAAGGTGGAATAAATTCTCCCTCTTGGGGACTGTTTTTTTTTTTGTTTTGTTTTTAATATGTATATATATTTTTCAGATTCTTTTCCATCACAGCTCAATACAAGAAACTGAATACAGTTTTCTGTGCTATACCATGGGTCTTTATTGTTTATCTATTTTGTATATAGTAGTGTGTATCTATTAATCCCAAACTGGACTGGTCTTTAATTAGACATAGAACCTAGTGTGACCTAATCCTTTTTGCCCTGAACTTTTGTGTATTTCCATGCCAGACTTTATGAGGCTCCCTCACATAAATACTAGAGTCTTCTGGAGTATTAATGACAACAGTTTACACTAATTTTGCATGTATCATGCACTTGGCCTTGTTCTAAACACTTTATATATAGCAACTCATTTAATTCTCATAACAATCTTATAGCACAGGTCTGCTGTTGTTAGTGTTACAATCTTGTTTTGCACACGAGGAAACTGAGGCACAAGGAAGGTGAGTGACTTACTCAAGGCTACCCAGCTAGTAGGAGTCCAGCTGGGATTTGAAAGCAAGCAGTCTGGCTTGTGTCTGCTTTTCACCACAGAGAGCACTGTAGCAAGTCAGAAATTGAAAGACTTGTATATAGCAAGGTGGACCCGGAAGCCCTGATGGAGCAAGACAGTTACATTAAAGGAATGAAATGGTATCCTTCGGGCACCACAGGAACCGTTTTCTGTTTCCTGAGGGTGTGCACTGTGTATAGGCGGCCGTCTGGTTGTGTGACCACCTACTGCTTCTCTGTGACTGGGCATCACTGTGGACAGTCTCTCTTTCCTGCTTGGCCTTCACTGCCTTGCAACTTTTACACATGAACCTTCTTCAATATAGGGAGTTGAAGGACAGAAAGACAATTGAGTGAACTGCTGTCTACAACACAGGGCAGGGAAAGGTAAGTGCTAACCAGAGGAACAGGCATCGGATTGTACTGGTGAAAGAGGGGTCTGCTAATCTCAGCACGACTTCCCAGGCTAAGGAAGCAACATGCAGTGTTTTCTAACAAAGCCGTACTTTTCAAAAATATTGATTATGCTTCCCCATCAATTAGAGAAAGATATACTGGTTAATATGTAAAATAAATACCTGTACTACCAAGCTAATACGTCATAAAATACATATCATGGCACCCAGATCTTGACTTCAATATACTAATCTCCTTTAAAAGGAACCAGGGTGCCTTAGAGAAGTGGCTGATTACAGGGCTGGAGAAAGCACATCTGAGCTTGGAATACCTTGGTGCTGGGAAGCAAAAAAGTCTTTAAAAAAAAAAAAAGAAGAAGAAGGAGGAGACATGCCTAAAGGACACAGAAGACATGTCAAAGATGCTTCAAGTGGCCAGGTTGGGGATCATTGTAACAGCAAAATAAATGATAGTAATGAATCATAAATCATAGAATAAAATCAGAATCCATGAGTTCCAGGGGAACTGATGTAAATGATTGAATAAAATTATTCAATGATACAATAAATAAATTAAGGAGGGGAGAAGGGAAAGCTCTTCCTTACAGTAGAATGCCAGCTAAAAAATATAGGCAGTATGATGGAAGTGAAAATGACCATTTGGCAAACACCACAGTACTAGTTTCAGGCAAGAATCATTGAAGAGCGCTAAATTAAGTAGGCAAAAGTGTGATGAAAAACAAGATATTTGCATATTTTCAAAATGTCTCTCCCAAAGATACTCACATATCTACACACGTACCTAATATATACTAAAGGAAAAATAGTAACTTTATAATGGAGAAACCTGGTAGGTATCACCTTAACCAAGAGAGCAAAGTTAACATGGCATCAGTAATGGAAAAAAGAGGCAGTATGAACCTCCTGACATGATACAGCAAAAGGACACGTCATCATTTCTGTGGTACTCCTGCCAAAAATGTCTACCCTGAATTTAATCACTAATAAACATCTGGAAAACAACTGAGGGACATTATGCAATATAACTGGCTAATGGTCTTTTAAAGTGTCAAAATTATGAAAGACAAAGAAAGAGTGAGGAACTGATCCAGCTTAAAGGAGACCAAAGACACATCACAATGAATTGCATCATGTGATTTTGAGTTGGATTTGGACCAGAAAAGGATATTAGTGGGACAATTGGACAAACATGAATACAATTCATAGGTTACATAATATTACTGTGTCAATGTTAATTTCCATATTTTGATACTTACACAATAGTTAAGTAAGATGTTAACACCTGGGGGATTCTGGGTGATGGGTATAGAGGGATCTTCTGTACTATTTTAGCTACTTTTCAGTGTCTGAAATTGTGTCAGTGGTTAGTTTAAAAAAAAGAAAAACTAAAACATATACAGTGAATAGAAATTTAAAAATAATAAGGTATAAAATAAAGGGAAATTATGTTTTCTTCTTATTCTGCAGTGGGTTATCTGGCACAGCCTGTGTTGGATGCCACTGAGGGAAGGGGTCTGGCTCCGTATTGCTTGCTTAGGAAATAGTGGGTGGGTCTCTGGTGCTGGCATGTTTCTGGAGGATGTAGCGAGTGATGGGTTGGCTTCTGATCATGGAATCTTGGGTAGGAAAACTAGCACTGATTATGTATTTCTAAACTTCCAGGACTGTGCCAGGACTTGTCAGTAACATGGTTAATATTGACAACTCAATACCATTGGCATTTTTATCCCATTTGTGTGTATGTGTGTGGTTATTGTTTAAATCTTGAGCTTTGTCAAAGAAACAAATGCACAATGTTTTAAGAGTTGATGCCAAAAGGCTTGTTAAAAAAAAAAAAAACAGCAGTGTTTTGACTCTGCCTGCACCCCAGAGATGGTAACCACTTCCAACATATGCAGCTGTTTATGCTGATACTAATCTCTAGATTTCTCAATAATATGCATGCATTACTCTCTTGGCCCAGCTTTTTAAGACATTATCCATTGACCTTCTGTGCAGTGAGGGTTTTAGCTCCTGTTTATATACCCTTCTGTCTTCAGTATCTTCCCAATATATTCACATCTGTTTAAGGTTAAAATCATATTCTGTGTGCTCATTTCAATGACTGCATGCTTAGTGTCCACTGCTGAGCAGAGTAGTTTACAATGACTACATTTCCCTTCTTCAATAACTTTTCGTTTTCCTTTAGTTGACAATTGCTTCATTAACTTAGTTTTACTTGAAGCTAGAGTTAAATCTTCCTATACTTTGTGCATATGTTTTTTCTCCGTGGTCAAGCTTGTGAGAAATTCAGTTCCTTTTTTTCCTGGCAACATCCCATCTAGGCCCCCATCCTCCCGCCACAACCTACGTTGGTGCTTTCTGTGCCTGCTGCGTGGCTGTCACCCCGGCACCTCTCCCTCTGTCATCCTGACAACTTCCTTCTCCCCTTGAATGAGTTGGATCCACTGCTTCCTTTTTGTGGCTTTATCCTCATTTTGGTGGAGCCTATTTTCCAGTAGCTTCTGAGGAATTGTGTTGGGGAGACAGTAAAATCAAAATGCTATGAGTTCGTCACCCTTAGTTGGCAGTTTGCCATCATCTTTTTGCTTAGAATTTTGAAGGCTTGCTCCATGGTCTTCTGGGTCTCAATTTTGCTGTTGAGAATTCATCCCTAAGTAGTCCTTACTCTCCATCCTTCATGCATGTACTCTATTAAGTCTCTGGAATATTTTAGGATGCTTTTCCTTACCTTTTCACTTGTGCAATTTCATTCTGATGAAATTATATTTTGTGTGGGTCTTTTTTCATTCATTATCCTCAATAATTTTGATCTGGAGACTCATGTTCTTTAAATCTGGATATTTTCTTGTATTGTTTTTCTTTTCTTTTTTTTTTTTGACAACTACCTCTCCTCCTCCATTTTTATCTGTCCTCTCTCTAGCAATCTTTCAGTTGAATAAATGATGGGCTTCCTAGACATAACCTCAATTTTCTTATCTTTTCATTCTTATTGTCCATATTTTCTCTTTTTTCCCTGCTTCCTGGAATATTTCCTCAATTTTAATGTCCAACATCTTTACTGACTTTTAAAAATTTTTAGCCAAAAAAATTTTTTTTCCCAGTGCATTTTTTTAATGTCTAAGTTTTCTTTTTCTAGTTCTATGTTGTTCTTGCTCTGTCTTTCATCCTGTTCCATTGATGCAATATCTTCTTTTATCTCACCAGGTATATTTATTGTAGTTTCTTTGAAAATTTTTATATCTCTCTGCATTATTATGTTATCTTTTCTTACTATTTACTCTCCTTTTTTCATATTAGAAGTGTTCTTTGAATGACAGCTGACTTGGGGGTTTCTGTTTACATTGAGAGTAAAGCACTACAATTGTGCTTGGACAACATTTGTCAACTAGTGCAATTCACTGTGGGAGCAACTGGGGCACTTGCCACTTTTTCCCATGGGATTTTCTTTCACAACAATGTCAAGATCTGTTAGATTTTTTTTTTTCTGGGATAATTAACTTTCTCCAGAGGAACATTCTATTATCTTCTGCCTGTGGAAAGTGTAACCTGGTTGTTGGTGACCTGGAGGTAAGTGAGGGGAGAGGTCTGGGGTCTCAAACTTTATAATTCTTTTTTTATTTTCCCAGCCTGGCCTTACCTTCGTCTGTGTCTAGAGCTTCTCAGCTGAATGTCTCCAGGTAATGTATCTCTTGCCTCTTTCATTGGAGGGGAAAGGTGGGACCCTGCCTGCAGACCTGGGGACATGGAGCTTTAATAGCTCTGTATAGTCTTTTGAACAACTGCCTTATATCTAGTTTCCACATCATCACTATCTTCTGTGACAATGGTGCCTCCAGCACCTTAACCATTCTGAGGTAGTGTGATACAAATTAACTTGCTTCTCACCTGTGGGCACTTTATTTTTTTAATTGTATTTTTTATTGAAGTATAGTTGATTTACAGTGTTTCAGGTATACAGCACAGTGATTCAGCTATGTGTGTGTGTGTGAGATACACATATACATACATATTCTTTCTCAGATTCTTTTTCATTATAGGTTATTACAAGGTATTGAATATAGTTTCCTGTGCTACACAGTAGGTCCTTGCTAATTTTACATGTGTAGTGTATATCTGTTAATCCCAAATTCCAAATTTATCCTTCCCCTGCTTCTCCCTTTGGTAACCATATGTTTGTTTTTCATGTTTATGAGTCTATTACTGTTTTGTCAATAAGTTCATTTGTATCAATTTTTAAGACTCCACATATAAGTGATATCATATGATATTTGTCTTTGTCTGACTTACTTCACTTAGTATGATCATCTCTAGGTCCATCAATGTTGCTGCAAATGGCATTATTTCATTCTTTTTTATGGCTGAGTAATATTCCATCACACACACACACACACACACACACACACACACACACACACACACACGACATCTTTATCCATTCATCTGTTGATGGACATTTAGGCTGTTTCCATGTCTTGGCTATTGTAAATAGTGCTACTATGAATACTGGGGTGCATGTATCTTTTTGAATTATAGTTTTCTCTGGATATATGCCCAGGAGTGGGATTGCTGGATTATAGATTATAAAATATAATCTATTTTTAGTTTTACAAGGAACCTCAATACTGTTCTCCATAATGGTCACACCAATTTATGTTCCCACCAGAGTGTAGGAGGGTTCCTTTTTCTCCACACCCTCTCTAACATTTATCATTTGTAGACTTTTTGGTGATGGCCATCCTGACCAGTGTGAGGTGATACCTCATTGTAGTTTTGATTTGCATTTCTCTAATAATTAGGGATGTTGAGCATCTTTTCATGTGCCTATTGGCCATCTGTACTGTGGGCACTTTAAATAAATCTTTCCTCAGTTCTGCTAAGTCATTTATAGTTTATTTACAACTCCTCCATCCCTTTGCTGCTTTCATATATATTGGTCCAGGTTTCCAGTTGTCTGCTCCTTTCATCAGAAAGGAAGTTTCTATTTCTGTGTCTGTGTGACATTTATTGGGTGGGTTTTCCTTTTTTTTCAAAGAGAAAAGGGATTACTTGGTCATTCTAAATCAAGAGGTTTCTTCACTGTTTTCCCAATGAGGAAACTGAGCCTCAGAGATTAGATGCCTCTTGCTTCCATACCCACTCCCTATTTCCCCCAAACTGCTCTTCTTAATATTACTGATGATCTGTACAGTTAACACTGACAGGCAAGTCTCAGTTCTCATCTTACTTGACCCATCAGTAGCATTTGATACAGCTGATTACTTCCTCCTCCTAGAAGTGTTTTCTCTACCTGCTCCTTGGGCACCACACTTCTCTTCCTCCTTCCAATCTCTTAATATTGGAGAGCTCCAAGGTTTAGTCCTTGTCCTTTCTTTCTTTGTCGTTTTAAAAGTTTTCCTTCCTTCCTTCTTCCGTTCTTCCTTCCCTTCCTTCCTTCCCTGTGTGATTTTTACCAATTATCAATGCTTTAAATACCATTTACATGCAGACAACCTCCAAATTTGCATCTCCATCCAGTCCTGTCTCCTGAGTTTCTGACTCAGTGTGCAACTGCCTACTCAACAGCTCCACTTGAATGTCTCCTGGAGATCTCCAGCTCAAGACTAAACCCAGCCCCCCAATCTTCCTGCACAAAGCAGCTCCACCATGGTATTCCCTGTAACAGTACCCTATAACAGGGCAGCCCCATCCTTCTGGTGACTCAGGCCAAAAACCTTGGCATCATTCTTCATTCTTCTTTCTGTTACACCCACATCCAATCCATCAGGAACTTCTTCTGGCTCTACATTCAATAATTTCATATTAGAGGTGTTCTTTGAATGTTGAATGACCACTTCTCCACTTCTACAGCTAGCATCCTCATCTGAGCCACCACCATTTCTCACCTAGATTGCTACAATGATTTCTCAACACATCCCCCTGCTCCTACATTTGCCCCTTTAAATTGTAAGTCAAATCATGTCACTTCTTTTTCCAAAATTCATTCAGGGGGACGCCCCCAAAAGATCTGGCCTCTGAAATCTTTCTCAACTCATCTCCCTCCACCTGCCTCCTTCCTTACTCTCTGCAGCCACACTGCTGCCTTGATGTTCCCAGAACACAGCAGGCTGCTCCCGTCTCAGAGCCCCTGCACTGCTTCTACAGCCAGAAACACTATCCTTATCTCCCTCCCAGGCACTCACTTTACTCCTTCAAGTCCTCACCCTCTCAGTAACCCCTCCTGACCCCCGGCAACTCCATTCTCATCACTCTGTTCTAATTTTTCTTTTATCCATAACACTTATCACCTTCTAATATCCTATATAATTAAATCTTTAAAATTATTTTCTGTTTATTTCCTGTCTCTCCTGCTGGAACCAATGTGTCTCACGAGGATGGGGATCTTTTCTATTCTGTTCTCTTGTCTATCACATGCATCAAGAACAATGCCTAGTGTATAGCAGGCACTCAAAAATATTAGTTGATTATGAACAAATGAATGAGGCAGGTTATAGACCTGAGTATTTTTTTTACTGTACCATGTTCTTCTCTGGGCCATCCTGAGTGCGTAAGATGACATTTAAAATGCATTCTGTAGGTGTTTTGAGAAAGGGATTTTCAAGACTTGTACTGTGCTTGAGAAAGGAGTAGGGGAAACAGATGGGAGAAACAAAATTTCATCCTTCCTTCCCAAATTTTTCTTTTTGGTCTCCATAGCTCCCTTTTTTGTTTTCTGTTAAGTCTGTGTGAACTCTTATGTCATTTTGTTTTTTCTCTTATTAGACGAAAGCACTCATTTCTAGGGCTAATTAGGTTCATTCCATCACCAAATATACTTTCAGTTTCCATGCTGGTGATACATTTTCATTTTTCCTCCAGGTAAAGGAGAATATTGATAATATTAAACTTTCTTTTCTTTTTCTTTCTACTGCTTCCCTGTACCCACATGTTCCATCCACTGGCCCTTAAACAACAACAACAATAACAAATGAATTTTCTTTGTATAAGTAAATTTTGAGTTGACTCCACTAGGGTTTCAGAAAGTTATCTAAAAGTATCTCAGTTACTTATTAATTTGATACGATTGGCTTCATCAAAGCTAGTCACACCGGTCACCTTTTAGAATTTAAAATATGAATAAACATGACCTAACTTAAAAACGTGTTTAGAAAGGATGAATAAAGTTCCAACTGCAGAGGTTGAAGTTTTGTGGCTTAAACTCTTTTCTAGTGTTTGAACAGTGACAATTACTCCCTGATTAATAGAAGTGATACTTTCAAAAATCTTCAGGTGCCTGGGGAGGGTTTGTGGGGTACGAGGAATGTCTGTGTATAGGGTACACATTTTATACAGGTGGCTAGGGGCCTGATTTTGTAATTTGTGGAGACTTGAAACTTTAGCATACAAGGTTTTCCTAAGTTTCCAATTATATTGGACATAATAGTATTTCCTTATAAAGCAAACACATTTGTTTTCTGAAAGTAATGGAAGAGTGTTTTTTTTTATGTGTAATTTAAGTCAGATCGATTTAGAATTAGGTAACTAGTACACATAAGTAACTAGTGTGTGGAACAAGCATGACTCACGATAATGTAATTACAACCCAGCTTTATTTTTTAATTTCCCACTGGCCTGGGAACAATGAAAACTTGGCTTGGTGAAAACTTAGTCTGGTCCCACAGCTTTTCTACCCACTCTTGGGTAACACACAGTCCTGACATCCTTTTAAGTCATAAACACAGCCTCCACAGATCTCAGTCAAAACTCCAAACTCAAATTTCCTTCCCTTTCCTAGCTGGGACCTGCTTAGACTAAATGACTACAGTAGAGGGTAGTGAAATGGGGTGTGGCTGGTTTCTCTATTCCTCTGCTTTCTGCTTCTCCTCTGAGCCCTTCCTTGTCCTACAGGCTCTGGGTGTCCAGCTCCAGCCCTCACCCTCCAGGAGGCTGCCCTCCTAGAGGACAGACCCCAGGTGACTGCACATAGGAAACAGTCATAGCTGCCCTGGCAGTTGCCCGCAGGGAGGGCCATTCTCCTAGCGGAACCACGGAAGTAGAGATCCAGCCCACTTCTCCACCTTTAGACTTGCCAGACAGGAGCCATTCCCAAGCCGCTCAACTCCCAACTGTGGGGGGTCATGCAACTCTCCACTCCCACAAGAAGGGGAGTGAAGGGCCAGCCCTCTCACTGCACTGGGGTGGGAAGGTGCACACAGCATAGTTATCTCCAGATGTGTCCTTCTTACTAGGTCCTCTCACCTCCTCTCTTCCAATAATTTTATTCTAGAACTAAGTTGAGGGGGCTCCAGAGGCACAGAGCTACAATTGAGGGAAAGCTCTGTCTTCACAGCAGAATGCCCATTCATAAATGGTGGGGAGTAGCTGTAATTACCACCCCCACCCCCACCCCCACCCCACCATAGTAACTGCTGCAGGCAGGGATCCGCAGTAAATGCCAAAACCACACTGTGGGGGGCCAGGCTATTTACGTGTTCTCGAAGAATCAAACCCCAGCTTATTTATTCATTACCAAGTCATAGATGTACCGTCACAGTGGAGAAAACTGACAGACATCAGCTTAACTGAGTGAGCAACCTTAACATGACCAGTAAGGGGACAGTGACCCTCCTGGACCCTCTGAGACACACACTGAGGACGATCCAAGGTCACCTGTGTAGTCTTCTTGCTAAAAATGCTTAATCCTAAGTTAATTATGAGAAAACAATCAGCCAAACCCAGACTGAGAGACATTCTCCAAAACAATAGGCTTGGATTTTTTTTTTAAGTCAGTGTCATTAGAGAGAAAAAAAAAAAAGTGGATGAAACATTTTAGACTAAAAGACATTAAGAAGCCATGGCAACTAAATGCAATAATAAATGCAATGTGGGATTCTTAATTAAATCATGGACTCAACTTCTCTCTCAAACAACAACAATGTCCTATAAAGCTCATTTTAGGAAATTTGAGGATGGCTTGTGTCTTAGATAACAGTGGGGTATCAGTGTTAAAGTTCCTGAGTGCGATGAATGTGTTACATTTGTGTGGAAGGATGCTGAGGCTGTCTCAGGACAGAGAAGAAAGTATTTATGGATAGGATGTCACAATGAGAGAGGGCAAAATAGAGCACAAACTGGTAAATCCAGGTGAAGAGAATTGGCTGTTTATTTTTCCAACTTTTTTTGGTAGGTTTTAACTTTCTCAAAGTAAAATATCGGGGAAGAAAGAGACATGCAACCTGCTCTGGCCCTTTTCCTTTGCAAGCATACAAATGGAGATTCATCTCTCTGAAATTTTGTTTCAATTGTGTGGATGCCTGGTTGAAACTTCAGTTATTACATCTTAATATGTGTATATACATATTCTAAAAGTGTAAACACATGTATCAATAACAACCTCAAAATACTTGTACTGGGCATTACAATTTAAAAAACATTTCCACTTATATTATCTCATGTTATCGTCACAACGATCTTGGAAATAGCTATTCAAGGTACTGTTTTATTCATTCCATTTTCCAAACAAACAAACAAAAAACTGAGCAGCAGAAAAGTCTGAGCAACGCAACCAAGTTCGCACACCTGAGACTGCACCCTCATCCTGATTGCAGATCCTGTACTTTTTTCGCTACACATATTAAACACCCAGGAGGGCTTTTTTTTTTTTTTAAATGAAGGTACTGGGGATTGTACCCAGGACTTCGTGCATGCTAAGCATGTGCTCTACCACTGAGCTACACCCTCCCCCAAGGGGGGCTTTAACATTTACTCTCTCATGACTTCATTCTTTTACAGGAAGGAAGAGGGGGACTTAAGGGTATGTCTGAGAACTCCGGGCGAGCAATGACACAGGTGGCTCTGCTCACCCCTGGAATCCTCCTGCTAGTAAACCCTGAGCGAGACGCTGCTTTGACAGGCAGCTAAAACCCACAGCCCCACCGGCCCGGGCTGGAGAGCTGGCTGATGCTAGTGTCTGCGCCCTACACCCATGTCACTGCACATCAGTCATTGCGGCACAGTGAGGAACTTACAGAGGTGACTTCCCCTGAGACTGAGTCGACATCCCCTCAGAATATGGAGGTGAACCTTGTCACAGCTCCAGCAGCCTTTCAGAGAGATGTCAGCTCACACAGATGGAAGCTCACGTGAGTCCCAAAGCCACAGCCCAGAATGCTAAGCAGCTCTCTTTCACCTGACAGCTGGGGTGAGCAGAAGCCACCTCTGCTTTCTCGCTCTCTCTTTCTTCTTAACTAAAAACAACAAGGACAAACAACAACAACAACAACAACAACAACAAGAAACCACCCTTTCTGAGCTGGGTGAGGACCACAAACTTGCGGTGAGGAGGAAGGACAGGCCCCCCAGACACGTGGCCCATGTTGTTTCTCCTTTTGGAGCTTACTAATGACAGCAGCTGTGTCCCAGCTGCCTTCACTGTTGACTGAAGATGTGAAGAAAAAGAAAGAAAGGAAAGAGAATAGAGGAACTAAGTGAACTGCAAACAGTATAAGCATCTTCTTCTCCAGAATCCTCCCTTCCAAACAGGGCTTTATGAAATGAGGTGGGGAATCTGTGACTTCCCAAGAAAGCACAAAATACAGCACCAAATAAACTACAGACTATTACTGGGAATACAGTTTCCTTTGAAGCTAACTCGTCACATATTTTCTGCAGCCTTGGCAATCTTAACTTCTCAGCATGCTCTAGTCAAGCTGTTCTCTCTTGGGAACCTGGTTGGAAGATGATCATTTGTTCACCAGGGTGCTGTTCCTGACAGATGCCTACCAGAGTGATCCAGGTTCCAAACTCTGGGGTCCTCTGTTAACTCCAGAAAAATTTTCCAGTGGCCCCTGAAGCTGACTCTGCAAATGTCAGCAACTAACTCTGTAACGTGCCTTTGCTGTGTTTCTTAAGATTATTCAGCTCTGCTTAAGGAAGTAAGAGAAACAAATAAGGAGGACAGATGAAACTGGGTAGAGCAACAGGTAGCTTGTGAGCCAGATAAACTTCACATAATGTGTGTGGTAAGACTAAGTGGGTGAGGAAGCTCTGAGTCATGGGAGCCACAGACAGAGCAGAAAATGTGTGTGCTGAGCACTGAGAGGAAAGGATGGAAAGATGTGAGGTTCATAATGCGTCCATATGTGAACGACACACCCAAGGCACACTAAATATAAGGGAAGCATATGAGAACACAAATAAGGTCTTAAATCAGCCACCCCTGGTGACCCCATTCTGGCCTCAAAAATCCTCTGCACAAGAAATACAGAGTCCAGAGCTGCACCTCAGGCTAACTGGTGAACTACAGTCACCAGGTGGAGCTGTCCCTGAGTCTTCCCAACAGAGCACGTGTGCCGTTGACTCAGGCACCTCTGTCTGCTGAGCTTCCTTCCTCGGCCCTCAGCTCTGACGGTCATAGCCCCGCCACCACACAGAAGGCCACCGTGGTGGTGGTAGTGGCGGTGGTGGGGTCATGTGAACACTGCGTGCCCCAAGATTCAGGCAGTTGGTCCCTCGCCCTGCCTGTATTCTATCTGAATTGTTCTAATTGCCTCTATCCTGCTCCCCTTGCTTTTCACTATTTCACTATTGATTTAATAAACCATGTGATTCACACATCTTAATCTGTGGTGTGAGACTTTCTGTTTCACGACCCCTAGGATTACCTGGTTGCGGACTTGGAGGCTACTACTGCCTCCAGGTCATTTCCCACGTGACAAACTTATGGTGGGACCATGCAAATAATAACGATAAAAATGAGAGCTCTAACTTTTTGCCTAATTACTATGTACTAGGCAACATTCTAACATTCTATATATAATCTCAAATATTCCTCATAATATCCCTATAGAGTAGATGCAGAGTAGATATTGTTACTTGCATTTTACAGATAGGGAAACTGAGGGGAAGAGAGGCTACATAACTTGCCTAAGATCACACAACTAGGAAGAAACAGAAAGATGATTTGAATTAGGGTCTGTCTGACTCCAGAGACATATCCTTCCCACTGCGGGGGGAAGCCAAGCTACCCCCCCATACCCTCTTGGACACCCTGTCTAGAATCCATCCCCCTTACTACCTGTCCCCCTCCCACCATCTAATGTAACTTTCTTACCAACTTATTGTCTGTATCCCCCACAAGAATGTAATTTCTGTAAGGGCAGGAAATTTGCCTAATTTATTAACTTCTACTTCTCCCAGTGCCTAGAAAAGTGCGTGGCACACAGTAGATATTCAAAGAATATCAACTGAATGAATGAATGAAGCCTATTATTGAGTTTTTTCTAGATACACTTTTGAAGACAAAATCACAGACTTTAAGATCGCCTTTTAACTGGATAGATTAACCCCAGCAAATCTATAATGACATAATTTTAAAGAGGATGGAGGATTTCAGAACAAAATTCCAAGCAGAAAAAAAAGGACTAGAAGAAAATTCCATGGCCAGCTCTGTACCTTGATTCCTGCATGGCCTCCCCACAGACCCTGGTTGACCCCTCAGCTTGGCCAGCTTCATTTGATTTTCATCACATTGTAATTTCAGGGTCTTAGACATCTCCTCTGCTTACCTCTGAGAAGAGGTCCACAGAAAGGGGAATTTTATATGTGTGTGATTATACGGGGCATTTTAGAAATGGAGCTTATGTTTGTTTCCCCTGCCATGAGTGAGGTGTTAACTCCTTTGGAAGCCACTTGATGTGTTACCCCCACTTTCAGATAGACACTGAGCCTCAGTGAGGACAGTACCTTGCCTAGGTACACAGTCTAATAGGTAGCAAAGCCAGGATTTTAAGCTGTGTCTATCTAATGCCCCCTAGTCTACTTGGCAGAAATATTGTCCTAATGAGGAAGCTCACAATGAATAGAAACATGAGATGTTCTGAAAAACCACATCAGAGACTGAAAGAATCCCAAGAGAAACCAGCCATCCCCCACAGTTCTTAGAATGGATGAAATTAATTTCTTTCTTTTTTTTTTTTTTGGCATGACTTGTCGTTCTGTAAAGGATAAAACATCAGCTGGATACATCTCAAGTAGCAGTAAAACTTTGGATGAATTCACAATTAAAATGGAAATAAAACTGATTTAGTAAAATTGGAACACTTTTTTTTTTTTTTGGTGCCACAGGCTTGGCAGGGTTTGGCTCATCTTCTTGGATATGAAAATCATTTTCTCCAAATTAATTTCTTGAAAACTCAGCTGTCTCCCCAGTCTTTCAAGCCAGGAGGCTAAATTGATCTAAAGGACACCAGAGGCCCTCAGAGCATCCTGGCCAGGGTCATAAGTGAAATGCACTAGATAATTTTAATTTGATATAGTCATACTCAGGGGCAGCTGAACTGCCAAAGAATCATCCATTCATTCATTTCTGCTCATTTAGGTATCAGTCAGATTTCTGGAGAGAGATCTGCATCTGGATGCTATTGTTGATGCTGATGAGGAGAAAGGGGATGTAAGTGTCCTGGGGCTGTTTGCTAGCAACTGGCCCTTCTGAATATCACCCTGAAATATGCTGAACCAGATCAGGCACTGGAATGTTCACAGATGCTAGGAAATCAAAACTGGTTTTCAAGTACAGAAAAATGAAGTTGGATCTATTTAACTTCAGAGCTTCATTTATTCAATCCTTAAACACTAGTTTACCCATTTATCCAATCATCCATCCATCCACCCAATAAATATTTATTGAGCACCTACTATGTGCTCTGCTGGACTAGAACCAGAGTTTATAGACCTGTGTGGTTAATTACACTAGGCACTAGCCGCACGCGGTTATTGAGCGCTTGAAATGTGGCTGGCGCAGATTAAGATGTGGTATTAGTGTGAAATATACAATAGATTTCAAAGACAGTATGAGAAAAAATAATGTAAAATTTCTCCTTGATAATTTTTATACTGATTACATGGTGAAAGGATAACTTTTTATATTTTGGGTTAAATTAAAATAATCTCACTTGTTTCTTTTTCCTTTTTAAAGGTAACTAATCAAAAATTAAAAATACACATGTGGCTTGCATACTGTTTCCATAGAAGAGCACTGTTACAGACTATTTGCAGAAGAAATCTTCCTGCTACTATGTTTTTGGGGGATAGACTGAGGGTGTCTTTCAGGGAAGATAAAATATAAACATAGAAGGGATGACCTATTGTGGTTAGATAATATTTCTAGGTTTGGGGTCATTAAAGTTTTGTTCTGAAAACTTTATTCTGGATGTTAAACATCTAGGTTCAGTGTCCTGAAATTGAAAAAAATGTAGAAAATTTAGGATGGTAAATGTTTGCCATTCTGGTATTTTTCTGAGCTGTCATTGGATGTCCTAGATTCTTGAATTTCCGTGGATTCCTGCTTGCATATGGGGATACTAAAAAAGACAGCCGAGAAAGAAGTAAATTCTTATGGAGTCGGTTCTTTGACATGATGATGTTATGGGAATTAAGTGAAGCTAACTTTGATCTTGTCTCTCTTATTTGGAATAAGGCATCTGGGTTGTTTTATGTCTGCACTGACCTAATAGCAGGGAAAAAATAAATAATTTGAACTGTAATGAGGTTGGAAATAATATCTAATGACTCAGGGAGTTTGTGAGATTTACTAGTTTTGGCCCAAAACTCTCAATAAATAAAAGTTAGAAGGCTCAATTCCAAGTGTCTTTTAAATTAAAATTTAATTAAAATGTAATTTAATTAAAAACTCATTATAGTCTCAGGATCAACGGCTTTCTTCTTTCCTTTTTAAAGGAGCTATATAAACTAAAGTGGGCCCCCTCTTTTTTCTGTTATTCACAAGTGGTACATGGTTTATAGCCTCCTTTCATCCCCATAATCAGGCTCAATCACTCCGTCCCTGGAGCAATGAGAAGGGTATGGATGGAGAAATTAGCCTGGCACTTGGGAATGACAGAGAACCTTACCAACAAACAAACAAACAAACAAACCCAAAAAAAACTCCTAGTGCACGTCCTCAGACACACAAGTGCTCTGTGTCTATCCATGTCCGCCATGATCTATGTTGGAATGAAAACTTTCTCTTACCTAATGAGCCTAAGAGAAGATTTTGAAATACACTTTGGGGATTTATGGAAGTGATAGACTTAAGAATACGATTATGATGGGGGACAAGGAACTGTCAGTGACAAGGTAGCATAAGAAAGAAGAAATGGGACATGGGGGTGATTTTTGGGGGGACTAGAAAACATGCCATCAACGCCAGATATTATAGCAGAGACAGATGGCGTGGCAGATGCTGTGAAAGAAAACTGACGTACTACTAGGTGAACCAGAAAAAAATAAACAAGAAAGACAGAGAAAAGAAGTACACAAGTTCCCTTCTATTGTCAGGAACATCTTCCCTTAGCTGTCAAATGTCTAATTACATCCCACGGGGTTACAGATTGCAGAGGAGGTGTCTTACCCCTTTCTCCACCAACTACACATTCGGAATTTACAGCCATTCGTTCGAGAGAACTCAGATTTTGTCTATTGGCTTTCTAAGGAAGAAGGGAAGGCAACAACTAAATTGGTATGCGTATGATGCCAATGTATTATGAAGACGCCACTGCTTAACCTTTTTTCTGGCTCAGTTGGTTGCTATATGATATGTATAAACTGGATGAAACTCATCTTGGTTTATTCTAGAAATGTTCCCAATTAACATCCTTTCGTGGTGTGAATCAAGTGAATGGGGTTGGCACTTTAATAAATTTAAATCAAAGTTGTTTAAAATGGGTCTTAGAAAGCTGGGTTGGGCTCTCTCTTTAAGCCCCCAGGAATTAAAATAGGTTCCTTGGCAAAATTATAAGTTAGCGGGTATCGTGGGTCCATGGAGTTGATGGGGAATGGCTGAAACCAATAAAGATGATCTACAAATGCTAAGGGTTTACTGTGTGGCACACACACAGAACAATGCCAACATATGTAGACTTAATATATAAAATTCAGCAAGATGCACTTGGCAACCACCGTTCCATCACTTGTATTAGACAGAAATGGATGCAGTTGAGCCTACAACTGCCAAAGTGAGTTGCTAAAATAAGAGATGTGTGTGAATGATATTAAGGCTGTTATAAAAAAAAAGTATTTGGGCAAGTATCTAGTGATGGTTTTGTCACTGTATTTGGAGAAGAAGTTGACTAATTAAAGGCTGTAGAGTAACATTGACTAACAAAGAATTACTGTAGGGTTTTCAAGGGTACTTTTGATTATACGTAACATACACTCTTCTGTATGGTTTTTAGAAACCCTAATAGCCTTCCTAAGGTTGATCCCATTGTAACATGAACAAGTTTCACTCATATACACACACATGATTTACAAAATCATTGCAAAAATGAAACTTAATAACAACATGGAATCCAGACATAGCTTAGACACCATTTTTTTCATTTTTAGAGGAGAAAATGCCCTCAAGACCATCTGGCAATCCCTGTCTATTTCTGATTTTCTTCTTATTTCCTATTTCTTCTCCTCTCTGTTGCCCAGATCAGTGCTCTCCTGTTACAGTAAAGCAGGAAAATTCTCTGATTTCATTGGAGGCTGGACAATGCTGTAGTTATATATTCTATCGGGCAGCAATCTCTTTCTCTCTCTTTTTTTTTTTTTAACATTTTGATGCTTCCTTCTAGTAAACATCAACACATAATCAGTGTTTATACAAGAGATACCATTATCTTATCAGTATCACATAGCTTGGCTCCTAATTGAAATTTCCTCTTTCCGTAGGTATATAATGCAAATTATAACGTTTTCTGTTTCAGAGACGTCTACATTATGTCCCTCAGATTAAAGACAGAGATAGAATGGGCAAAATGAGCCAAAAAGAAAAAAATCCCAGATGTTCTTCTATCCTGTACATAGCATAATTGCAAAGGACATTTTTCCAAAGAGGAAAGTAGTCACTAGGCACTTAAAATGGGAAGCAATTTCAGTCTTTCATAGTCGCCACTAAACGGCATTTTGCTTGACAACTGTGCTCACATGATAGCTTCAGTGCTATTTTAATGTGACATTGAGAATGGTGTGACAACATATTATCCTTGCAATAAGCACTTCTTGCATGAATAAAATGTTTATGATTTGCCTTATCAAACACCTAGTCTTTGCTTTGATAAAAATATGCATTTGTGTCATTTCCATGGATAATTTCTTATTATGAATTTCCAACACTGGTACTGCTTTATAATAATCTCCTAATTTACTCAAATCAAGAAAGTAGAAAACTCTGGGAGAAAATTAGATATATAAGTATATATTTTAAACATTACTCTGCAGTTGAAAGACACAAATAGCAAGGAAAACAGTTTCATAACTTTTTTTGGTCAGAAATGCATTTTGTCAGAAATGCAACAGAAAAATTTATACATACTTCAATCTTTCATAACTTCCATAACTTCATAACCTTCTAGCAAGAACAAATCTTTACAGAACCTGATTTAATACAAGATCCTGAATTACCTTTTGAATCAGCAAAACCAAATTTACCTTAGTGTAATTTTATGTTGAGTATTCTAATTCTTTGAAAATTTATAAATCCATGTCATATAGCAAGCCTCAAATAATCGGAACATTATTTCCTCCCCTTATTTTTTCCCAAGTATCTTTGTTCTCATTCACCTCAGATATATGATAATCCATATGACTGTAAATCTCACTTAACCAGAATAATTTTTTAAATTTGTCCTCCCAAATGATCCTCTTTCTCAATCATCCTAGGTAGGTTCCACAAACAAATGTAAATGGAAAAAAACTGGTTTTAGGGACATTCTGAAAGCTTCCACAGAGAGATGCTTGAATTGTCCTCAGAAAGGGGATAAAATGTTGCAGCTCCTTGAGAATCAAAAACCAAATGGCAACCAAGAGTCTCATTTTGAAGCAGTTGCTCCTGTAAAGCCTCTGCTCATGGTAGCACTTCACACTTACCCCTACAGACTGGAAACTAATGAGACCTAGAGTCATTATAAAATAGGAAGACTCTCGGAGAGCACCCTCCAAAGTCATGATGGCTGGGTTATAAACTCCCCTTCCAATTACTTTTATTGTTTTTGTTGATGAAATCCCAGAAGTGAAACAAACCTGGAGCACTGTGACAGCAGGAGCCAAACCCCGGTGTCTGCAGCTGCTGAAAAATTCATACACATGCAGAATGCACAGCCCTGGCTTTGCAGGTAAACATTGCAGCTGAAAGAAATTGACTGAAAAGGTTTTCATTTTTCATATTCAGTCAGATCAGTCTGAATATATTTCATTTCCTACTGTGAGTGGAAGAAGTCGTCAACTAGAATCAATCACTCTAGTCTTTTATTAAATGTCTTCACTCACCTTCCATGGGAGTGTTACTGTCTGGGCGATTTGCAAAAACTACGTCCACATACTCGAGCTGCAGCCTCTGGAGGGAGCCCTTCAATCCTGGGAATGGAAGCAGGAAGATCTTAACAAGTCTGAATATGAGCACTATTAGAAATAGTTGACGTTTGGTTACCTTCAAGAATTTACTTTACAAAAGAGAACCACTGACTTAGATTCAAAAAGACATTGAATACAATGATGTGCTCATTGGCCCTCAGAACCTTTTAAAAATATATCAAAGGTTGACTTTGTCTCCAACAGAGAAAAGCCTTAGACCTTTCTCTGTGGTATTAGTGCTCTTGCCTACTGGGAATCCACACTTGGTAATGACCTTTCACAGTGGCTCCTGTATCTGTATCTGGCAGTATCCAGAAGCAAAGTTTAGAATGAAAAGCAGCCTAAGAGTTTAACTTCTTTCTTCTTGGAAAATGCACATTAATGTCACGTTTTGAAATACTTAATGGGCTTATAGTGGGATGGAGCTATATTTATTGCACATTAAAAAAATCAAAATGGTGTAAATCATAAATAAATGACTGACAACTCCATCTTTTTTTTTCCTTAATTGAAGTACAGTCAGTTACAATGTGTCAATTTCTGGTGTACAGCACAATGTCCCAGTCATGCATATATGTTCATATATTCATTTTCATATCCTTTTTCATTAAAAGTTGTTACAAGATATTGAATATAGTTCCCCATGCTATACAGAAGAAATTTTTTTAAATCTATTTTTACATATACTTGACGACTCCATCTTAATGTACACGTGGGTTTTCCTAGTAATAAAATGTTGGCAAATGAAAATTCCATTCCACATTTACTAATCGGAACAAAGTCTGAAGAACTTTAAATATAGCTGAGCTCCACTATTTCTATTATTCCCCATTCTTTTGAGAAGAAACAAAAACACTAGAAGCTTTAAAGATTTAAGTGGTAATATAAAGGAAATAGACCTTAAAAAAAATCTGGAACCAATAATCTATGTTTCAGCCCTAACCATTTGGTCACATTTCTATGATTACTCAGAAAAAAATATTCAATTTCAGTAAAATTAATGCTTTCCTGAAATAGAATGTATTGTATATACTATTACACAACCGGAAGGATGACAGTGTTTGAGAATTATTTTATCTCATTTCTATGAGGCACAGCATTTCCTTATCAGCTTATTTAATTCCTCAGAAAGACTGGAGGTTTTTCTCTTTTATAATAGGCATAAAATTAATTGCATGTTAAATGAGGCTCTTATAAATTTAAATTTGGCTCATTTAAATTTGATTTTTCAAACTGGTTTATCGGCCAGCCACAATTACTTTTCTGACAGGAAAATGGAGTGCTTGAACACAGTTTCGGAAATATTTCTTTCACTCATTAAGGAAGGACTGTCTGTGATGGTGGCTTGTTAAAAGCAGCACTGATGAAGAGATTAGGGCAGACAGGTGTTATAAAGTCTAATGTCTGTTCTTAAAAAACTGCGGGGACATTCAGGCCCAGGGTATTACCAGCTATCTCAACGGGCATCTCGAAACTAAATTTACCTTAAAAAGCACTATGATAGGAGCCAGATTTTGGAAGCAATTCTGTGTATGGAGGAGGTAAGGAGAGGGAAATAAAACCAAGCAAACCAGTAATAGGGTATCCCCAGGTCTAAAAGGCTGGAAACCTGCACGCTGGCATATGAACCTGCTTGGATTATTTGGCTTTTACTGTGTGTGACTCAGTTCTCTAGTCCGCAGTGGAGATATCAAGACTCACTACCTTTAGAATTGCTGCTCCAGAGGGCAAATAAAATTAGTTGGCACACACTTGGTAAGAGCAACAGCCTATAGAAGTACCGTAATTATAACGTTCTCACATCTGGAAAGATTCAGGATGACTAGACGCCAAAGATTTTCACTGGCCCTCGTGGTTTTAGAGGCAGGCATTTAGTGACAGTTCTGGCCCCTACCTGGCACTGGAAACAAAACGCCCTCCTTTCTGATGATGCCCCCTCCCTCGGTCCCTTCTGAAGAGCTCAGCGTGGGCTGAGAGTTACCTAGGAGAAGCTACGACTAACTTGGCCCTGTCGGAATGCTGTGTGATCAGTCGTGACGTAAGTCCTTTGCTCTTCCATGCCCTACGCATGTACTGAATTCTGATTTGATCCTGAAACTGTGCCCGAGTCTAGGTGGGTAGAGAGGCATGGACACAACATTTATCCCCAAGGAGCAAAAAGTGCACACTGAGGGCATCTGTTGGCATGATTTCGTTGTTCAAGGTAATAACGTGTACCTGTAAGTCATGACACAGACTTGACATAAAGGCCAGCCAGTCTCGTTGTACTCAGTCATTCCTCATCTCTCAATTCTTCCTCTGGAAAGCATTTTTCCTCTCGATATTGAGGCCAAGATTTTAGAGTATTCATGTGAGAATATAAGTATGATGCAGCTTGTCAGTGACCCACCTGGTCCCTCCTCTGACTTTGAAGTGGAGTAAAAGGAGGTTGTGCTCCTAAGAGACACTCTCCACTCACTTTGAAAAATCTCAGTCACATGAAGTCTTGGAATCCATGGTATGAATTTTAGATTTTACTCTACATGAGATGGAAAAATATGGGGAGGGGCTGGGAGGTAAGGAAATGAGAGTTAAGCCAGGGAAATGATGCTATCAGATTTGTGTTCTGAACTGCTCACTTGTCCTGCTGAGAATGACCTGTAGGGGCAGAGGGCAGGCAGGGAGGGAGACCAGTGAGGCTGTCACCGCAGCAGACCAAGTTGGTGAGGTGTGTTCAAACTTGGACAAGTTGTATAAGTAGAAATAAGAGGACTCCTGGTGTGCTGAATATAGAGTGTGGAGGTAGAGGTATCGAGGAGGACTTTGAGATGTTGGCGTGAGAAGAGAAGTGACTGTTAGTAAGACGGGGAGGTCAGGGAAAAGCAGGTTGTTGGTGGTGGTGTCAGCACATCAGTCAAGCCCACGGAGCTCTTGGCAGCTGGATGGACCGGTCTGGCATTTAGAGGAAAGGTCTATGTGCAGGTGAGGCACAGGACTTGGGATCCAGGGCACTAAACTGAGCTGGCCTGAATGATCTTGCCAGTGTCTCTTTGCCTCCTTGGATCTTAGTATCTTCATCTTTCCAAAGATGAAATGGAGCTAGATGATCTTTCTGTTTTGATCTTCTTGGGACTGCAAACCCAGTCAGGTGGCACTGCTTTTCCCTATTTGGATGCTTTAATCTTATAGCTAAATTGTAGCAACATAAAGACACGCTAACAAAAGTCTCCTTGAGAGCCATTTAGGGTTTATCTCCAAGAAACAAACAGTCATGTTCTATCTCCCCTTAGCAAATGTTTGTTGAGCATTGGCTTGGGGCCAAGTGTTGCTATAAGTTTAAGTAGATGTGCAAAAATGCATTAACCTTGGCTCCAGGGAGCTATCTGAACAGTTAATCGTAACCCAAGGAGGTAAATGCTCCCATGCAGTGAATGCGCTCACTGAAGGCGCTTTTTATGTTAGCCTGTCCCTCAGTGCTGACCCAATGTCTGTTGGAGTGAAAAACAGGAGGAGCAGGAGAAACATTCCCTGCCCTTGAGGAGATGCCCAGAAGTTAATTGGCCATTCCTCAGAAGTCCACAGGAGAATACATTGCGTTATGTAAAGAAAAATAGCTTTCAAGTGACTCCAGTAAACTTAAATCTAAGTCAATCTCTCTCTTAGGTTCTAAAATCACCATTGTTCATAAGGTGAAACTCAACAAAATTTTAAACTTTTGAGATTGAAAATGAATTAGAATCAATTATTATTATGTTTTACTGTTGGTGTTATTTTTCAGTTTATAGTTTCAGCCAAAGACAAAAACACTCATGACTGCAAGAGAGTCAGCTCAAAAGAAATTTCTAGGCAGGCTGAAATTAGGGAATTGAGTGAATTTTACAGGAAAAAAAGAAGGGACATGAGATTTTTAGACCTAAAATAAAGTTTGAAGAGGTTTACAAGTCATTATCCTCTGGTTTCATTGGTACTTGTCCTGTGATGAAGGTGACATTTTCAACATTGGAGATTCACACTCACATTACATTTGGGAAGTACTATTAAAGAATAAGACAGAAGACCAGTTCATGTAGAGTTCAGGCAACTTGTGTGCTGGGTGACATTGGCCACCTGAGTTAATTTTCAGAGTGTAAAATTAGCTTGACTTGTGCATAATGTAGTTTTGAAAAAAATCATATGAAAGACTTTTTCAATGAGCCCAAAGTTCTGACTGAGATCTGGTTAGGAACAACATGCTCCTTGGATTCCCAAGGAGGTAGCAGAAATTTCAATAATAGGTTTATTATGTTCATTTGGAATCTCAAGGTCCTCTCAGGTTCTGAAAGTCTGTTTATTTATTCCGCCATTCCACAGTCATTAAACCCAAATTTGTGCCAATGTTAAAATCTAGCAGATCAAATTTCTTGAGTATCTGGCATGAAAGAACAGAAATAGTTTGGTAGGTCAAACTGGAAGAATAAGGGCATTGTCTGTGTACTTTCATAGGAAAAAGCTGTGTCTAAGTCTGTAGTTGCCTTTCAGGTAAACAACCGTTTTGTTATGTGATTTAAAACGTGGAACCATCCCGGTTTTAGGAGTAGGAGAAAACATTCTGAGAAACTCCACTTGAAACTTTTTAATGAATGGCAGATGTTAAACCCTAACTTTAAAAAAAAAGATAACAGAAGTGACTATTAGTGGATACAAGGTTTCTTTGGGGGGAGATGAAGATGTTTTGAAATCTAATTATGATGACCATTGCACACTCTGTAATTATTCTCAGAACAAAAGAACTGTACATTTTAAATGGGAAAACTGTTATGGCATATAAATTATATCTCAACAAAGCTCTTTAAAGACTCTTGCAGACGTGCTCTGTTAATGTTAGCATAGCCGTAAATGAGAAGAGTTCTAGAAAATGCAGTCTTTTTCTTTTGAGTTCTCATTCTCCCTTTATATCACCACACTCCCCACACTCAGGCCCAGGGATAAACTTGGTTGGTTGTGGTTCTTTACGTAGAGAATTTTTTCCCTTCCTAACGTGTTTGGAACCTATTTGGTTGGTACCTTTCTGCACTCAGCAGCCCACAGACAAAAATAAAATGGAAGCAGCGGTACTCACCTTCAATAATATGTTTTCTTGACAACCCTCTTTCCGTTTCAGCTCTGACAAGAAAAAGAAGCAAATGACTTTGAGTGGGGTGTGCTTTTTTAAAAAAAATCACTCTTTCAAAAGTAAAGAAGAATAATCATTCTAGACTAAATGGTTAATTTTGTGCCCTATTCTTGGCAAATTCTGTGCTACTGCAGGCTGAGCAAACAAGGCTGGTGGGCAGCACACTGAGAGGCTCTTCTTTGAAGACCCCAGAAGATGAATTAACCATGACAGACATCACATCACCTTAATAACAACTCAGGCACGTGCACCTTGTCCATATGTAATTTGACACTTGACATGTGGCTCAGCCTTACTATCTTCTTAACCAATCTCAAGCCAAAAAAAAAAAAAAGTTTGTGAGCTTACTTACTATAAGATTATCAGGCTACTGGTAGCACTGGCTTTTCTGAGAAAGGAAACAAATTTAGAAGCGTCTTTTGACTTTCAAAAGAAGCTGAACAACTATTTTCTTTTAAAATGTGATGTACCAAGTCTTCCTTAAATTAGTTTCCTAAGAAGACAAACCTTTGACCAGGACTTTTGCCTGCCCAGACCATCCATCCTCAGGCTCTGGCCAATGAGAAAGAAACGTGGTCTTTGAGTTTCAAAGTACTGATGAAATATTCCTTCAAAATCAATAACTTTGGCAACCCCTTTTTAGAACGCAGTAGTTTATCATTCGCCTTTGGTGATTTTATATCTTCTAAAAGTGCATTAGATAATAATGTATGTAGCACTCTACTACATAATGGTTCTTGCAGACGGTCTTATTTCCTGTTTACTTCTAAATTATAGGCAAGGTTTTGAGTACCATCGCAAATCATCAAGAAATGGCACTAGGAATCAGAGTACACACGATGTAAACTAAACATTTCTCATGGGCACCACGTTGCTTTATTTTTATATAGACTGCACTAGGAATAAATATCTGAGTTCCACATTTCTGTCTTCATAGTAATCGTAAACAACTCAAAAACATCAATAAAATATCAGCGTGTGAGTGTATACACGTACATTTTGATTAGAAGATTCCTTCCAAGTTTGTTTTTAACTATTCCCTGTCAATCAGAGGGAAGTAAATTAGGTTTTGTTTGTTTGCGTTTGTCTTTGTTTTTGTTAAGACTCCATGGAAATCTCTGAGGTTTCCATGTAAAGGTATATGGAATAGCTTCATGTTTTCTCACATGTGGTCTCACAAAGAGGCCAGACTTCTGAGTCCTGCTGAATAACATAAGTACCAGTTCAAACACCAGCAGGGCCATCAGAAGCCAGTGTATCCTGTGAAGTGTGTTCTGCATCCCACGGCAGAGAGAGGACCACTCTTTCATTTGGCCTGACAGCAAGTGATACATGCAGCTTCCTGTTATTCTTCGCTGAGATGGTCTTTTTGATCAGCATTTTCAGAGCCTTCTGCAGAAATGATCAGAGACTCACACGTGGGGCGAGGCAAGATATTTTTATCATTGCTTTCCGTAGAAGTCTCTGAGTTTTGGCAGATTTGAGTAGCTTTTCGTCTGTGATGCTATGTGCTTATTTTCTTTTCCTGAAATTTGAACTCTATTTTGGAAACGGTTCTAAGTATGAGGTTGGTATTTTGAAAATCTCCATGAATCACTTAGTAACAAGTGACCACATGCTTTGCACGAAATTTCTTTGGGGGTATCTTGCTAAACCTGAATCCCAGGCAAATTGCTATTTCCTTCACGTGAGAAAAAAAACAATCTTTCTTTCCAAACCAATTAATTTGAGTACGTCGAATGTAAAATGGTTGCGTAAAAGGATTAAAGCACAAACTACTGATTGTTTCCTGTCAAGCAGGGAAAGTAAGAGATATTGAACTTACTTTCCGCCCCAGTAGAGTTTGGTTGTTATGACCAGGCTGGACCTCCTGTAAGGTAAACAGACAAACACATAGAGAAATATTATATAAACTGCTGGTTATTGTACCGGGTCATATTATTATTATAGCACCAGAATGAACTTATTGTATCTCACATTTTAAAAAATTGGCAAGGAGATAAATGGTTGGTTTATGTCATTGATAAGGACAGAAGGAAGCTGGTGAGTAGGGACTTGAAGTCAGATCCTAAAGAAAGAGGCCTGAAGGGAAGGGAGTTATTGGGAGGGGCTGGAGGAGGAGGAGGAGGGCTGTGGCAGCACACAGGTGATTGGCAGGTGAGAGGTAGGCATGGAGGCTCAGAATGGTAAGTGAAAAGTAACGGTAAGGGAAAGGACTTAAAGGATGGATTGCTTTAGGAGCTCAAGCAGCCACCAGCTAACACTTATCGAGCATCTGACCTAATGCTGATTAATCTGAACTTTCCTGGCCTCTGCCAAGGACCATGGACCCGAGTATCTCTGAGTTATGATCCTTTCCCACCATTGCCTTCACAGGCAGGAACTGACTACATGGAACTATGAATAATGAAGTAAACTATAATAGTCAATAGATAGAAATAAAATTGCTCTGAGTGTCTTATTCAATGGAAATGTTATTTTAGGAAAACAGTCCTAAGATCCATAACTCAATGTTTTACCAGTTTCATTCCTCAAGGAATGAAATGTGGAAATCTTGTCAGCAGATTTATTACCTTCTCAAAACCACACCCAAGGGCAGGAAATGCAATTGCATCACTATGATTGTGGGATATGAAATATGTCTTGAGAACTATAGTCATTTAATTTAAAATTGGGAGGCAGATCTCAGTGTGATTTAGTTTCTCCAGGTATATAATTCATTTGAACTGGTTTAGGGGGAAAAAAAGCATTTGAGATTCAAAGGTTAAGACCAAACTTCGGGAATATTTGAAATAAGGCATTTATAATTCCATCAGCTGTAGTGTCGACGCCTGGGGCCCTCAGGTAGAAGAGCCTAGCATGATTAATGATAACCAATGGGCAATGACGGTGACAATTCTGACAACTTGGCTGCAACAAGAAAAATTTGTAGGAAATGTCAGTACTCCCATCCCACTGAAGTTAATTCCTGGAAAAGTAATTTGAATCACTGTAACAGGAGGCCCACAGATATATGCATCTGGAGATTATGCACCCCAAAAGGGCTGATGCACTTTCCAGCTTAATCCGTCAACCTCATGATACCTGGTATATAGCAATCTGTCACAGGGGAGTCAGGCCTCCGTTAGCAAGCACTGTCAGAGCTTCAACAAAAAGCTCTGGATGGAATCTTATTAAAGAATGCGTGCAGCCCTCTGCATTATTCAGAGCACTTGGGCCTGCCAAGGCTGCACGCTCTATCCAAATACCACCATAGACTTGTTTTTCCAAAATCTGGCTTTCTGTAAAATGTTTGGCCTACATGGGCGTGCACCCTAATATTTATGTTCAAACAGCGAGAGTGGACAGCAACCTGGTGAATTATCACTGACCTCATGGAGGCATTTAGAGCAGCTCCTCTGAGTGGGTGAAGAATGACAGCATGAGTATCTCCCATTGATAAAGCACAGCCTTCAACATTCTTTTATGTACTTTATCTCAGTTTATCAGCACGATGCCTCCATTTTACAGAAGGGGAAATTGAGGCTCCGAGAAGCGAAGTTACTTGCCCTGGACAACACAGCTAGCAAGTGATAGCTTTGGGACAAGAAGCCAAGGATGCCAGTTGAAATGGCTTTTATTGCCTCCATGCTGTGATGTTATGGTTTATTTGTTGGACACTCTCGGGTGGGCAGCTGTGAACGGATATGAACTGGTACCAATATTCTGTAGCATGAGGATACACTGAGTGTTCACTTGCAAGACTGCAAGGCAGTTCGTGAAAGATGCATGTTAATCTCTTTTTCACCAAAAGTATTTATTAAGCTTTGCAGCGTATGGTGAGGGATGACTAAACGTCCTGTGGGTGCAGAGGGGAAGTGAGCTACTGCATGAAGCTCCCCCTCGTCCTCAGGTGTTCCCTGGCAGCCTTCACCTCCCTGCTGATTTCACTGCTTGTCAGTGGAGTCACCTCCAAGGCATCTGTTACAGGTTGAATTGTGTCCCTCCCTGAAAGATGTGATAACGTCCCATCCCCCAGTACCTCAGAATGGGAGCTTATTTGGAAATAGGGTCACTGTAGATGTAATGAGTTAAATGAAGATGAGGTCGTACTAGAGTAGGGTGGGCCCTTTGTCCAATATGACTGGAGTCTTTATAAGAGGACATACAGACACACGAGGGTAGAATGCCACATGGTGACAGAGCAGAGGTTGAATGGCTGTAGCTATAAGCCAAGGAAGGCAGAAGATTGCCAGCAACCCCCAAAACCTTGGAAGAGGGAAGGAAGGATTCATTTGTTCAAACATTCGTTTTGTACTTTTGGCCCCTAGGACTGCGAGGGAATAATCTAGTGTTGTTTTAAGCCACCTTTGTGGCACATTGGTACAGCAGCCCTTGGAAATGATACAGTGCTCTGTGAGCAGCGATGGATGGACCAACACTCTGGGTGCGGAGGGAACTCAGGTGAGGTGGAGAACTGGGTGGGGATGTGAATATCTTTCCAAATTTAAGGTTGAATACAATTTTCTCTTCATACCCTGACAGTTCCTGGAGTGGGGAGAGGTAAGGAGAGAGGCAGAAAGTAGGTCACCAAATTTTATTTGTTCATATATCTCCATACAGTTTTGAGTTTCTGCTGCCACTCATACTATATGGCTGTTACTTATTTGGCCATCAGCAGATCTTACACCAGAGCAGAAGAGGACGCCACATTTGTCCGGTGGTCTTCACTGGGGTTTGCCTGATTCTGTCCTCATGCTGGGGAAGAGGTGACTGCTGGGTTGACACATGTAGTGAGGTGGGGTGGGGAGGCATGTTATAGCATCCTTTATCACTACTGGCTTTGGCTATAGACGGTGGTGGGATGGGACATAACCCCTCAGGAACAGCAGATGAAGCATTCTCCTGAATGCCCAGACACCAGGGCTGGAGCACACAGGAGACTCGGTGCTGGCTAATTGTGTTCAGGTAAGAAAGCTTTGGGATATATATTCCAAGGGGTTCTTGTTTCATTTCTTTGCATCCAGAGTTGTTAATTAAATGAACAATGATATATGTATGACTGAAACATTATGTTGTACATCAGAAACTGACACATTGTAACTAAGTATACTTCAATTAAAAAATCTAATAAATAAAATTTACAGTGAACATAAATACATGTGTACAGATAATCAGCTTCCTGTCAGCTGGCTTCCTTCACCGGATGACCACAAATGGCAGTCGGAAACCACAAAAATGCCACTTTCTTTGAGGCACGAATATTTCATGAACATTCCTCCTCTGTGCAACCCCATGGTGATTCATTGTCACTAATGACTAGTCAATAATTCTTGAAGCACAAGTAATGAACTCACTGGTATTTATTTTCAAAGCACTGTAAATCCTTTCTTTACCAAGAGTTGACATTTTATTTTTGACAGCGTTTCAGTCAGTTGTCATGTGATTTTATTTTCTCTTCTCTGGTGCAAAATAATCACAGTCTTTTTAAAGGCAAGTAAGTGACTATGGTGAAGACCTTACCTCCAGCCTTTCTTCTTGATGATGCTCCCCAGGATCACTTCAGCCCTGAAGGGGAAACATAATATTTTAGGATACAGTGTCCTGGAAATGCAAGAGTCAATCCAAAACACCAGATCCCTTCCTGGTTTGAACTCTCAGTGCCCACATGTCCCGAAAATAGAAGCCACTCTCGGCTGGTGGCACAGTTTCCGCTGTTTCTGCTTGTGCCTGCAGAATCCTGCTCCCGGAGCGCTCCCGAAGCACCTGCCAAATCCTGGCACACTGGCAGGAGACCGCCTGCGGTCCTGATACTAGGAAGCAGCGGAGTCATTTGGCAGTTTGGTGTTTTTGAGCCACTGATCCCATAAATAACTGTCCTGCTTGGCAGTGTCTGGTGGGAGTCAAGGGTTTCTTTCTAATGGCTGTGGTCTCCAGTGGTGCCTGGGGAGGACAATGAGACCTCATGCTTTTCAGACAGAAAATATTGACTCACTGGCAATTTTGCAGGGTGGAAAAACACATGTGTGGGTTTCGATGTCCCAAAGCCAGGACCGCGGATGCAGTGGCCCCCATGGAGAAAGTCCTGGGTTCCAGTGACAAGCACTGTCGCAGGAGCAGGAGTAAGAAGTCATAGGGAAGTGTCCTTCCTGCCCCTTGGGCTGGTTGTGGAGAGCTGCAGTGAAGACATCCCCACCGTCCTCTCCTCCTCTGCCTACCGCAGCTGGGGGCCAAGCTTAAGGTGACTAAAACTTTCCTCTAGTTTCCTCCCAGCCAGACCAACATCGTGAGAAGCAGCTGTGTTCTCAGAGGCTCTGTAAATGGGGACATCAGCAGAATCAGCTCTTTGTCCTTTGGTGTCATGTAGATTGAGTCATCACTAATTGTGATTTGTCTTAACTGAAAAATGTCTGCCTTTGTTGGAGTGTACAGGCTGGTAATAAAGCATGACGCGGGTTAGACAGGAGCGTGCCCCAAGTAGACAGGCATGGAATGTCGCCCCAGGGTTCTTTCCCCACATCTGTTTCTCTTGCAACCTTGCGCTTCGCAGTGGGAACCTATCTCGTTACACACTGATCATCAGTCAATAATTATAATCAGGACCGATTATCCTTCAGAACAAGAATACAAACACCAGTCTAACAGACTTGTTAATCACTGCTTCCTTTTCCAGCCTTAGCCCCACTTGGTACTAAGCAGGATTCAACACAAGAAAAGAACACTGGGATAGAGTGAGGTGAGGAAAGGAGCAAGGCCTCATCGATTTCATTTTCAAACACCGAGGATGTGGGCTCGGAACCTCCCTGATGGTCCTTAAACACAGACCTGCCCTTGAAAAGGAGGAAACCCAGGCTAGGAGAATGCACTTTGACCTGGCAGCGACGAACCTGATTCAGCAGTTTGACTATAATTTTTCCCCGGAGGTGGGGAATCAGGCCCGCAGGGGATTATGTACCACAGCCCAGGTAGAGAACTGCAGAGCTGCTCAAGCAGCTGTCCAGCCTCTTAGTTTCTCTTCCTGCCAGGACCTGCATCCATGTTCACAGCGGGGGCCAAAGTGCTCCACTTCTGCTGAAATGCGCTTGCTGTGCAGACCAGAGGGCATGGACCCCGAGGCCCAGCCCGAGGGCACGGTGCCTGCGGGACTTGGCAGTGAGCCCCGTCCTGGAGCCCCAGACATGCTCTCTGCTCCATAGGAAGCTTGGAGCTAGAGGTGACTTCTCCAGCAAGAGAGGCTGCTTTGCAGCCCTCTCTGTCCTCAGAATGGGGTCTGAAGCGCCTCTTATGAAAGTATACATATATCACCATGCTGTACCAGAAACTAACACAACACTGCACATGGACTATACTTCAACTGAAAAAAAAAAGGCGAAAAAGGTGATAAAACCCTTTATATCTAGCTGACTGAGGATTTCAATATATAATGATATTCTGTATTTTGAGGATTGTCTTCTCAGTACTATATTTTAGAAGGCTTTTTGGAAAAATTGCTCTTGTGCTATAACCTGTTGGAGTGATTTTGGAATAATAGTGTTAATAAAAGATGGTTTGTTGAAGAAAAAAAAATCAGGCTTCTTGGCATCTTTGGGAGCCTCTCCTTTAATCTCTGGTCTACCTGTATTGCTGGGTGAGGGACAGGCCTGCAAGCAGGAAAAGCAGCCCTAGCTTTCCTGCAGAGAGGAGGTCCCAGTCCACCGCAGGGCTGAGGAGCTATGAGCTGTGCTTACGAAGTAACGAGACTAGCTTTGGAACAACCACACTGGAAGCTGCTCATCTGAATTAATTACATTCAGCTAACATTTATGGATCTCTGCTGCTCGCACTCCGGTCCCAACCACCTTGGCCCCTCATGTAGATCGTGGCTATTGCTTCCAGTCAGTCCATTCTTTATATAGGGACCAGAATGGGGAAGGTCTGGGTGGGCAGAGGGACCCAGAGACGCTCAACATCCCCAGTCCTGCAGAGGTGGGAGAGGCAGGGAGAAAAGCAGTGGCATCAACACGTGTGGGATGGATAGACCCTTCTCACCAACGTGTCAACAAAGGTCTGGGCAGAGTCCTTTGTTCCAGAAATGCCACCTGAGCGACACACCGGGCTCTGACTTACTTGCCAGCAGCATAGACCTCGGCAGTGTCAAAGAGATTCACTCCGCTCTCGTAGGCAATTGTCATCAGCCGTTCAGCAACCTGCAAGGGGATGCGAAGGTCAGTCAGAAAAGCCAAGTGCTTTTGAAACCTGGGAAGCAACTCGGAATCCTCTGGTGGTCTTTAAGAACATGGAAATCCCACCGACCACTCTTGCTTTTCTCAGTTGTATGAAAGAAAGAAAAAAAAAAAAAGAAGAAGATTCAACCAGCCTGTACAGGGTAAAAAACCCTTCCCTCAGCCTGGACCAGGCCCTGAGGGACTTCCTTCCACACTGGGATAAGGCGGCCACGGGAGCACGGCTTCTGCTTCTCACTGCTGGGAGCCTCAGTTTGACCACATTCTCTGTGGCCTTGGAATCTCTGTGACAAACCGGGTCCTTTGTATCACTGGTACTTCATTCCTCTTCTCCCTCTTTTCCCCAAGCCAGTAAGTTCTGGCAGTTGGGTGACTCTGACCTAAACGCTCATGCCTTTCTTCCCGGGAGGCTTAGCAGACTGTGCTGATTCACCAAGGGTTAGACGGAGCTGGGATGGCTGTAAAACTCCTGCCACCCACGGCTCGGCACAAGCTGGGGCGCCGTCACAGAAAGACATGACACGGAGCGGAGGCAGTGAGCGCGCCGGCTCACCTCAGGGCCGGCTCCTCACCGGTCAGCCTGCAAGTAGGTCTCCCAGCTCCCTGTTCCTTCCTTTGTGCTGCTGAACACAGGCGGCAGGTGTGAGAGAGCAGTATGAAGGGTCCCTGGAAACAACCCCGTGAGGGACAGCTCTGGGGGGACGGTGGTCAACAACACTGGAGAAAGGACAGTTTTTCATTCTGCTGGTAGACTTATCAGTCAACTGAAAAATTACACACCTCGCAAATAATTGAAATTGATTATTCCATTATGTTTTTCATTGTAGGCTAAAGGTGCTTCATCAGCATTTCCAAGATAAACTCTTTTCCTATTTTTTAAAAATAAGCAGAGCCAGAAAATTGTCAGGCTAGCAAAATGGACTGCATGCAAATCCATTAGAGGAATAGCAGCAAAAATGCTATTACTGCTTTCAATTTGCTATGATATGACATTTATCCTAAGTGGAAATTAAATTTAAGAACAGTATAGTTTTTCACATCATGACTGCCTTGTATTTTAGACATTATTGTGCTTGTATTGTCTATCATCCTTGGATTGTGTTGCGTGACATACTAGTGGGTTACTATCAGTAAATGTGTATAATAAGTCTTATCTAGAAAGAAATTTCGAGGTAAGATGGAGCATCCTGGATGGAGAATTGGACTGAGTGATTGCTGAGATGTTTCCCAGTCAAGAGACTTGAAGACCTGAATGTGGAATAATGAAAAGAAGTCACTGAACTAAGTCAGAGGACCCATGTCTGGCCTTGAGTGGACCACACACTAGATAAATAAATGTGGGTACATCTTTTGGTCTCTCAGTGTTTCAGTTTCTTCATCTGCAAAATGAAGATTCTGTCCAGGTCCCCCAGGGAGCCCACAGGTCTCAGGGGAAGCTGACCTCACCTCCGTCCAATGGGGGCCTGATGGGCTAACCGTGCGTCAGGGAAGGCCACATGACACATCTGGGCCAGTGAGATGTGAGGAGAGGCTGGCTGAGGACCTCTGGGAACACCTTCCCTGTTCTTCTTGCAGACTTTTTAGAAACAACACTCTATTCTCAAGAGTTTACTGCTATTCTAATTGAAGCCCAGAGCTCCTACCACTTTCTTACCAGGTGAGGGTGTAGTCTTTGATGCACAAAGGAACACAAAGCCAGGAGAATCACTAGGAAGTAGAATGGAGGCTCTGACTGGGCCAACTCAGAAGCTTGCTTTTACTCTACACTTTTTTTTTTTTGGAAGAAGGAGGTAATTAGGTATGTTTATTATTTATTAATTTTTAGAGGAGGTACTGAGGATTGAACCCAGGACCTCTGAATGCTAAGCATGTGCTCTACCACTGAGCTACACCCCCCTCCTGCCCCTGCACTTCTAATATGAAAGTAGAAATAATTTTTCTTTTATTGGTTAAGCCAATTTGCATTCGGTGTACTGTTACCTGCAATCGAAGGAAGCCTCACCAACCCACAGATGAGAAAAGATAAATAGAGCTCTGAGGATTAAGTGCTATAAGGTGGGAATATGCTCTTATCACTATTTAAAATATTACAACTCACGTGAGTGACATCTTGGTTTCAAATCATCTTTGGGAGGGACCTCACAGCTACCTATTTTCAAGTTTGCATCATTTTGACACTATTCCTGCCAAGTGGCTATTTAATAAATAGTTGAACTCTTCCAGTAACGGGGACATCACCACATCCTGAGGCTGCACTGATGCTTATGTCACTCAGCACGTTACGGTGTGGTCACCCCGGGATCCCATATTCGTGTCTATTTGTATTTTTGGCTGCACTGCCACATGGAAATAGCTGAGTGCTACCAGTTCAGCCACAGGTGTGAATGTGGTCTGGCTGTCTCCTCTCTATCTTGTGGGCAGTCTCATCACTGGTGGCAGGGAGGGGAGCCACAGCTGCTCTCCGGAAAGGACAATAGCTCTTTGTCTGGTGTGCGTATGAGGTGAGAGCCTCTGCAACCCTTCCTGACAGCTTTATTGTGTAGTTTTCAGAATTGTAATTTTGAAATGATTCGTTTCAGAGGCCAGCCCTGCACACTCTGACCTGGGCAACCTCGGTTCTGTGCAGAGCAGGCAGACACTGGCAAGGGGAGAGCAAAGTTGAAGGGGGAAGTAACATGTTTACAGTTGACCCCTCTACTCTGAAAGAAAAGATATTTTTGTCATTTTCCCCTCTAAGCACCAAGGCAGTATAAGGTTTTGTACTTGCTAGACCCAGGGGACTATTAACTGTAGACTTCTCTCCTTTCATGTACCTATTCTGCATCTGATTAAAGTCTGCAGCCATTGCTTTGATACCTGTGGACTTGCCTCTGTGCCTCCTCCCTGCACCCTTCCCAATGCCACTTGGAGGGTCCAGGAGTCGACCCTGGGATGGCCACCTGGTCCTCCTTCAGAACTCAGGGATTATCCCCCTAGCTGCTAGGAAGGCTGCCATCAGATGGCACTTGGCTAAAGTGAGTCACCTAGCCCAAGGTCAGACTTGCCTCCCAGGGCAGCCTCTATCCAAAGATTGGTCATACAAGGTATGCAAATGCTCACTCCTCTTGCCCTACCCTGGGACAACTCTGCAAGGCCATCTCAGCCTCGAGCTCCCCACGGGGGCAGCTGAGGTCATGGCTGAGACGGCACTGTGGTCCAACTTCCCAGTAACTTTTCTGCATGCTAATTTCCAGCACACATCTGCTTCCCAAGGACTCCCCCATGCGACAAACTCTTTGTAGTGATCTATGCTCAATACTGGGAACAAGCATTTAGACAGATAAGAATATGAAGATGAGACCCCCCTCCCCCACCGAGATCTGTTAAATAACACTGGTGACCTTGGGAGCTGCAGAAAAGACACTCCATTTCCCCAAGTGTCTCTCTAGGACTGATAGTAAGAAGTACCCGTATAAAGGGCTTATTCCTGGGCCAGGCACAGGGCTGAGCACTTCAGAGGCATCAGTTCATTAAGCTTAGGTATATTACCATTGGTAAATATAAATGTTAGTAAATCTAATTAATGTGGAATGAACAGGATCCCACTGAGTGTATCCACTCAGAAACACTTTCCCTGACACCTTAGGGTGCTGAGGAAGACAAGAGAGGCTCGGAGGGACTGGAGGGGATTTCCTCAGGGAGTTGTTGGTACTTAGTTACTCCATAGCTCACTTACACCATGAAGGCAAAGGTAAGAATATTCCTTTGGTAAGCACTGCTCTGAATGTGTAAATGGAGATTTAAAGGAATTTAATGGTAAATACAATTATTATAGATTCCATTTATTGAATGTCTGCTACCTACTAGTCCAGAGGGCTATACAAATGTCTGACATGCATAACATAGTCAATCTTTTCAACAGACCTTCAAGGTCAACATTGCCATTCCATTTTGCATAAAGGAAACTGAGGATCAGAGAGGTTGGATTAACTTGCCCAAACCAGGGTGACCAACTGTCTCGGTTTGCCCAGGACTGAGATTCCATCCTAAAACAGGAAAGTCCATGCAAACTGAAGCTAAAATACATACACAAACACACACACACACACACACACACACACACACACGCACGCACCCAGCAATAAAATCTTTTCATAAAGTGACTAAATATTAATTCCAAACTGGTTTGTTCTCTAATTATTGAGCCTGCGCATGTAATAGATTGACAGCTTCAAGGGCTATGAATTGTCTAAATGTGAAAAATATAAGAAGCAAGATAAAAATGAAAATAAATTGAGTTAATCTTAACCATTTCCTATGATTAAAAATATCATCCTTGTAAAATGCCAGCATCCCAGGACAAGTACTCCTACCCGTACAGTTTGCTCTGCATTTTCTCTCATTAGCATAATGGAAGCGAAAAGTAACTCACCTCATCTGAAATTTGACCTCCAAACGTCACCCATGTTCCTAGAAAAGAATAAATATTTGCACATTATTCATGATCATTTCTCTAATATTGTGCATAAAGGGAAACACTTTTTCTTACATCAGGGCTACTTCAGTAGGTCGTTCCTGAAAGGACCTGGATGAGCAGCACTTGGGGGCTGAAGTCCTGCCCGTCCTCGTCCCGTTGCTAAGTCCCCCAGCAAAGGTCTACATCCCTCTGCATCCCTCTGGATGCTTTGTCTTATTCAAAGGCCTCGTATGTGCTAAGGGCAGCCCAGACCTACTAAATGCTTTTTCTTCTGACACAGGTCCATGTACGCTGGTGTGCGAGGTGGCAGTGCTCGAGCCCTCTTTCACTGCACACCCATTCTTGTTCTCACTTAGCTAAGAAGTCACCAGTTCTGAAAGTAAAGGTAAGACCTTGGGTCATATTTCTTCCTTCCTTTGCCTCCAAAATAGAGGACTCTAATCTGTGTTCTCTATTACCTTTCAAAAGGAACCCTCTCAGAGGGCCTTCCAGTCCCCCTTTCAAGCCCCAGGAAGTGACACTTAAGCACCCTCTGTCTTACTACCTGCTACTCCAGAATGGAAATCTCCATTGATCTGGGGATGGGGTGGAGGCAGTAGCCTGAGTAAAGTAAGGCTTGGAAAGGCAAGAGGAAGAGAAAGATAACCAGCAGCCAAATATTTGCATTTGTAAAGCAAGAGGGAAGCAGACGCTGAGTGGGCTGTTGCTACTTCAACACCTCATACCTTCTCCTTGAACTTTTTTTTTTAAATTTGCCCCCCAACCCTCCCACCTCAACAGAGGCACTGGGGATTGAACCCAGGACCTTGTGCATGTCAAGCATGTGCTCCACCACTGAACTACACCTCCCACCCCTCTTCCTTGACACTTTTTTTTTTTTTGAGCCCTAATCACATGGCAGGCAAAGGCATTGCACACAGGTGCTCGGGGACAGGCACAGTGAGGGGGTGGCCCCAGCTCCTCTCTCCCAGGAGCTCACAGTTGACAACCTAGTTGACAAATGCTTGGATGGGGGCAAACGCAAGGCAGGATGTGAGGGAGCACTCAACCCAGACTGAAGGGAGGTGGCCCTAAAGACAGACTTCTAAGAAAAGGTGACATTTTGGTTGAGTTGCAAAGGAGGTAGCTGGACGAAGAAGGGAGGGGCAGGCATTCCAGGTATAGGTGAGAGCACGGGCAAGGCAGTGGGTAGAAGACTTGAGCGGCCAGAGGAGCGAGCTGTGGCGCGGACGCCTGTGCTGAGGGATGAAACTGGATGTAGAGAGGGAGGGGCAGCAGGGGGCAGAGCAGCCAGGCACACCTGGTGTTTGTAGGGCAACCAAAAATGCTGTTGGAAACTCACGTTTTGTGTTTTGTAACAACAGTCATAGCTACCATTTATGGAACACCTTCCAAATGCCAACAATACCCTGAGAAATGTGTATACTTTCATCTCTAATCATTTTGACAAACTCACAAGGTAATTTTATTATGCCGATTTCCAGATGTGAACTCCAACTTCAAGCAACCTTTTAAGGGAAATGCCCAGGACTCCCCACTCCTGCCGGACTCTGAGAAGGTTATCCTTTGTAACTGCATTTTGCTGCCTCATCAGTAAGTTTCCAAATTAATCATGGCCCTTGGATTCATACTCCATAGAAGCATGCTGATGTAATTGTTCCCTTTCTCTTCTTAGTTCTCGGGGACTAGAACAAAGGTAGGACATAGATGACTTTACTGTTACAGTTTTCGTCCCCAGAGGTTGTAAGTGGGCAGCTCATGGATTGGCACTCAGCTTGCAGGCTTGTTTTGCTTGGCTAGACAGTGTTGACTTACTTGTTATTTTAATAAATTTGGAATGAGTAACCAACATTTTGATAATTAGGAGATTTTTCTTTAAAATGTCTGATTTCTAGCTTCCCTTAACCAGTGTCCCCACATGGCAGACATCCCCTGAATTTGAGGGGCAGTGCCCTCTGTGGAAGGGCTTTGCCCTCCCTGAATAGTCAAAAGTCACACACCTTCCTTTGTGTTTGCAAACTGCCATATTATTTACTACCATGTGACTGCTGCTATTTTCATTATTGTAACATTTAGAGGAAAATGGACTGTGCATCTCCTAAAAAACAGAGTTGAGTATTTCAAGAAAAAAAAATAGCAGTGCACTTTTTTTTTGGTGGATGTGATGACTATCCAAAGAACATTTGCACGGAAAAATGACAACTTAAGGTACCATAATGAAACCAGCTATGAGTGGTATACAGAAAAGATGGGTGCTGGGAAACTTAATGGACTGAGGAAATAGCAGCGTTTGTTTTTGAATGAGAATAAAATAAATGGTCTGCTGTGAAATGCAGTTCTCTATTAAGTGAAAAAACTGCCTGGGCATCTAAACCTTTCAACAGATAACACTTCTATAAAAGAGTCTCTTTTGAATGTAGCAGAAATTATGTGTCCAGAGCATAAACAAGCATTTGCAAATGTTGGTATAATTAAAACACTGGATCTCAGTATGTTAAAAAATATGGCTGCGAACTTTCAGAATAAGTTAAATTTGGGGTGGCATTTTCTATTACAGCAAACTAGCACACATATAAATAATAGCACACTGTTAGCTGTATTTATTTGGTTGTTTTGACAGTGTTGGGGTGGCCAAAGAACTTTTGAACAAGGAGTCTCTGCAAGGCAAAACACCAGAAAATGGCTACCTCTGTGATGAGAAAGGTCTCAGCCCACTGGATGTAGAAGGCACTGTTCCAAATGGTCAAGTGTCGCCACAGATCAGGTTCTGTGGCGTGGGGTGGGGCTGACCTTGGATCCATCAAGCAACAAATCTGGGGTGGCAGTATTTGTAGGGGCACTATGCATAAATCCATTAATTTCCTCCAGGAATTGCTTTGAGCTAAAAAGCTAAAATGAGACAGCCATGGATTCAGTAATTAATGCCATGAATCAGCTATTCTTCTATATCTTGGAGCAAAAGCAGCCCAGTGTTTGCTTAATGAATTTGCTGCTTTACTTGTGCTGTAATGTTGGAGAGTTTTTTTTTTTCAACTGTTCATGTCATCAGAGGAAACAGTCCCGTTCCACTTCACAGAGATTGGCTCAAAGTCCCAAGGTTCTTGCTGACATGACAGCTCATTGGCACCTTGTGAATATTTTTCTACTGTGGCATTCAGAAGTGTTTGCACAAATGTCTCATTGGCTTCTCCCAGCCCTGACAACATAGAGTCTTTGGGAAATTCATTTGTTAAAGAATAATTTGGTTCACTTTCCACATTGCAGTCAGTTTCCAGATATGAAAATGGTAGCCTGAGATTTATTCTCCAAAATGGGGCCTTTGAATACTGGATTTCACACTATAGGAAAATGAACGAGTAATATTTAACTTTCTGTCTTAGTTAATTTTAAGATTAATAGTAACTTAATAGTACAAATGAAGGGCTATGAAGTTATTAAGCTGTACTACAAAATGGTATTGAAGACTATGACAGTGGTGAAAGCTGGGACTGCATACCCGTCTTGGAGGAACTCATCTTCCTTGTAAGAACCCATCCACATTGGGAGGACTTACGTTTAGGAGAAGCTTATTCCAAAATGAATCTTAAAAAAAAAAAAAAAACCTACCAACCCCAGTGTACATATTTAAGGCTGCATTCCGTACATCACATTAAAAACACAGGGCTTCACTGACATGTTGGTTCAGAAGAAAAGGTATCAGGTTTCTGACTCCAAATCAAAGCAATAATGAATTATAAAATAATAATAATATAAATGTTTTTCTTTTTCTGTTTCTGTTTAAATTTTTTAATATAAAATAGAATATGGAAATCAGCTATATTTACACTAAGTTATATGCTTATACCATCATGTAGTAAAGAAGGAGTTTGGTTCCATTTCTGGGATTTTTAAAATGTGTGTGTGGTGGGGGGGGGGGAGAGGTAATTAGGTTTATTTATTTTTTCAGAGGCCGTACTGGGGATTGAGCCCAGGAGCCCGTGCATGCTCAGCATTCGCTCTGCCGCTTGAGCTACACCCCCCACCCGCCCCCGCTTCCGGGATTTTGTTATTCTTCCATGCTGCTTACTTCGTTTACGTAGGTTACCTCCCTGGCCCTTTAGACATTTGCTACTTATTTATTTTATAGTTACTTGTTTACAAACTTTATATTTTCCCCCCCAAACTTTATATCTTTTACTAGGGAGTAAGCTACCTGAGGGTTAGAATTTTATTTTATCTTCTTACCTCCACAGCCCTAGAATGGAAGTGAGTCCTTAGTAGCTGGTTGATAATTGCTGGTTAGATTGAATTCAGCTGCCTTTTGGGCTGTCATTAGTGTACAAAATACTGGGATAATTTCCCACCAAACAAACATGTTTACTTTGATTTATCGAAAGATGAGAAATGACCATGAGCAGTCTTCAGCTCTAGTCCCTATGTGACCAACATGTTTCTCCCCATCCCTGGTACCCATGCAGCAGTGCCCTCTCCTGGAGAAAGGCCAGGAGAAAGCCCTTCTCCCAAGGCATTTTCAAGGCCTCCAGATGGCGGAGGTGGGGTGACAGTGTAGGCCAGGGTCCACCAGCCCACGAGGAAGAGCCGCCACTTGCAAATAGGACACGTTCCCTCAGGATGGAGAGGGATGCAGTGCAGCCTTCCAGACAGGGGAACTCTGCTTGTACGATTTTATTCTTGGCTACCCCTGGCCACAAGCTCTAAGGTGATTTATTCGTTAATATGATTCTCAAAAACCCTCTGTGGCAGTTCTCTTGATCATTTTTCTGCTTCTAATGAGAACACGCCTTCTTGAGACCTAGGCTGGCATATGATTATTTCACTGTGAAATCTCAAATTAGTGCGATGTTACTTAGAAGATAATTTTACTAAACTGACGTGTGTTATTTCTAACCTTTTAAAAGCAGAGGGAGTAGAAAGAGAACTTTGAACTGTTCTTGAGTCTTCTGATGAAACTCCTTCACGCACGTAGGAATAATACATGCTTTGAAAACCTCTG